AGACAGACAGACAGACAGACAGACAGACAGACAGACAGACAGACAGACAGACAGAGAGAGAGAGAGACAGAGACAGCCAGTGTGGATGTTTCTTTGTGAAAAAACAGTAACAGATGTATACAGTACAAGCCTAACTTACAATTGGTCGCTTTTAAGGACAAGCGGGCTTACCCAGATTTTGAGGGCTTCCAGAAATCTCGACCTACACCAAAAGTGGGCATTGCCCTACCTATAGGAGAAGTTTGGTTTCATTTGTGTGAATATTTGTTAGATGATAGAGAAAACTCTCCTTGTCTTTTAAAGAAACTGAACAAGGGGCAAAACCTTTACCTTTGATTTTTTCAAAACAGCATTTTCCGGGACAGCCCCCTTGTGCTTAAAGGCGACCAATTCTGTGTGAAGTTATGACCTCTCAGATTTTATACTTACATTTTGCTCTGTGATTATGCAAGAGTTCACCTCGGGATTAGAAAACACACCCCTGAAAACAGAAAAAGCAACATATTCAGATTAATTATAGCTATCATCTTTGTTGCAAATAAACCTTCTTATTCCACCAAATGGAAAGACTTTTTAAAAAGTAGGTTCTCAACTGTAGTTAGATGTGCACCGTGCACACCCCCAAGCAAGGACTCATCTTTCAGGGAGACAAGCTGCACAAATAAGTCCTTTACATAACATAGACCTAAATTGTCTGCTGCACGAGTTAGAATAATTTCACATGAAAAGGGGAGGGGGGAAGAGGGGCTCAGCAGCTCAATAGATATAGTGTACCCTTGTCAACCCCAAGGTCAGGAGTTTAGTCCCTGCCAGCATCATGTTGTTTTATTTCTCATTTTATTCTACACCCCCTGATCCTACGAGCACCTAGTCTTCTGAGCACAGAGCATCTTATTTGCAACATTTCATATTCCTTCATGATCAACTCAATCAAGCATTTGAAATGAGAAAACTTGAGAAAAGACCTTTCGACTTTACCTTACAAATTGCTTCCACTATAATATGAAATCAAGCTATTGACAAAATTCAACTTACTTTTTTGGTATGGCAAGCGACCACATTAACTTTGGATTCTGAAAAAGAGACAAAAATATACTTAGCCCACTCCTATTTAACAGAATGAAAAAAAGAAAACAAAGTCTCACTGACAACTTGCTAATCATACTATTACAAAGGTCTTTGTAAATAAATAAAAAGAAAACAACTGGCCTACTATTTAAGAAAATGACCAAATTAGGCTTGAGAGTAGAAATTTCTAGAGCCTCTCCATAATCTATTTACAGTACGGTATTGACTTTTTCTCTAAATGAAGACCTCTGGAAAAGTGAAATTAAGTTATGACTCCTGTTACAAGGTATGGTTCAAAATCTTACCAATCTTCAGAAGTGATTCAAAATAAGATTATCAAAGACTGGCTATGCTTCTATTGATTTTTTTTAAATAAAAAAAACAAAACAACAAAACATGTTACAGAATGCTAAAAGACCAGCAATCCTTCAGACAATTTTTCAGACTTTTTATACTCTCAGTCAAATCTTTTTCTTTTTTTGTTCTTCTCGATCGCATCACATTCACACTTGGAAGTCTGGTACCAGTCATAAATTGGGCCGTCCCGCTCAGTTCATCTGTCGGCCCGTATAGCTTCTCTTGTAGTGTCAGTGGGGTTGGCCACGTTTCCTGTCTTAGGGCTGTGTGCGTCTTGCAGTGCTGAAGGATGTGTTCAACAGTTTGGTCCACCTCTCCACACTGGCATTTAGGTGATTGTACTAGTTTAAAACATCTGTACATACGTTATCTCAGTCTTGTGTGTTGTGTTCTTAGTCGGAAGATAATCACTTGTTCTTGGTGGGACAGTTCATGGTAGCTGTCTGGTGTCTGTGGTGCTTTAAATAGTGTATTTATAATAGTTTTAATTTCTGTGTAGTTGACACTGTTGTCTGGTTGCTCTTTCTGTGCTCCTAGTTTGGGCATCCTGTCTGCCACCTCATTTCCTAAGACACCACAGAGAGATGGAATCCACTGCAGCATGATCCTCAGACATGGGATGTTCTCAATTACTTCTCGCAGCCTTGGTAGATTGCCGGCAGTGATTGCCTGCAGTACTGACATGGCATCAATAAGGAATACTTCTTGGCTTTGGGGGGTCTACCACATTCTTGATGATGTTTGCTGTATGTTTAGACCCTCCGTCTCAAGGACAGGGTGAGGGATTTCTTGCTCAGGTCGCTGTGGTCATCTTTTGAGGTGAACATAGGGATGGACTTGTGTATAATTATGTTTGTGTTTTTCTTTTCTCATGATGGTGCCTCTAGGGTATGGTTCAGCATGTTCACTGTGGCTGGTAGATGGTCCAGTACGGATCTTTGTACTTTTCTGCTTCCTTTGATGAAGCTGGATCTTTTAAGTCTTGTGGTGTTTGATCTGGCTGTTCTTGTGTGCGTTATATGATCCTCCATAGCTGTGGCCTTGGTGTACTGTATGAGGGCATTGCACTCCCATCTCCTCCGAAGGGCCACTATAGATGTTGTTTGTTCCATCTTTTCTATAGGCATTAACCTCATTGCTCCAGTGATTACTCAGAGAGCCTGGTTTTGCACTTTTTCCAGAGTGTATCTGTGAGTCTGTGCTGTAATCATCCATGCACTGGATCCGTACTTAAGATGGGGCCTGATTGCGCCCAGATAGACCTGTCTAAGTGTTTTCTCATTTGTTACCCACTGAGTCCATGCAAGTTTTCTCATGATGTTAAGCTTCTTCCTGGCATTCTGAATGTGTTGTTTCTATGTGTGACGCTTGTCAAAGATTATTCCAAGATACTTCTGCTGATTCTCAAACTTTAGGGGGGTTTTGTCCCATGAGAGGTTTTCTAGAGTGCGCCTTGCGGCCCAATACCTCCGATTTCAGCACTCCACCTCTAGGTCTTAGGACCTACCCTGGGAGCACAAGGAGGAATTGTTACCAGATCCCACCCGTAGCCAGAGGACTCCTAGGGCATTTAATGACGTGGTAGCGCCACCTACTACCTCTAGTAAGAGCATCACCAGTTGGTCCGGGGCAGCTTATTCAACATGATCAAAGCTAGCCTCCATTACAGTGGCCATTCCCTATCCGCCACCAGGGACCCGCGGGGTTGGGGATGGTCGCCCCAGCCCGGTCTCAGTCAAATGAGCAACAACAAAAAATCTAGGCGAAAAACCAAATTGCAAAAATAAGTAAAGAAATACATGCACAGGTAGCCAAAGAGTATGGCTCACGCCTTAAAGCTAATCCTTACCAGAATCAAGACTTCTAAGAGAGTCAGTTAAAGAACTTACTTTTCCAATGATATCAGACCATTTGTAAGCTTGGATGTTCCCCTCTCCTGCACTGTGAACAAGAGAAAAGACAGTTAACAGGTTTTTTGTGGGAAGTAAACGTTTCATTAAGCACATTCTTTTTAAGGCAGAACAAGAGACCGAGTAGCAAAAAGAAAGAAGAAAAAAGAAAGAAAAGAAGGCACAACAAAATTCCCCTGAGTAATTCAGGTTACACATGTACATATGAGCATACTTGTTCATATTCTTTGCTGCACTATTATTGCTTAGCTTGCTGCAGAGTAGAGGATTTAAAATATAATTCTTTTGTGTGAAAATGCAGAGCTTAGCCATTACTCCAGATGCCTGTACAAAACAAATGTCAAGCCAAATGATTCCAAGTAAATGTGAAAATACAAAAAACATTACTTTTTCTGCTCTCTTGTACCGAAAAGTGTCGAGGGGAGATGCGGTTATCAGATGTGGGCCAAGTGTGTTGGATTTTGGATAGTCATGTTGGTCCTTTGGAGGGTCTCTATCCGTCTATATTTTTCTTTGTTTTCTTCTTGCTTTGAAACCATTAAATTTCATACTGTAGGCCTCCGAGGCTGGCTGTTGTGGCCCCATTACCACAACGCGTCCAAACCATTTGACTTGTTATCTTGGTGTATTTCATGCTCGATCGCTTCTACACCACCTGTTGTGTGATGTCTCTGCTTCTTTGTCTGTCTTTTGTTGTGATGTTTATAGCATCTTTCTGAGACATTTTATTTCATATTCTTTAAAGCCATTAAGAATAAATATCCTAACTGTTGTGAAGCCCAAAAGTAGGCCTACTTAGCTAGTTGCACTGAATGATTCTTTAAAAGCTGAGAATATTTTGGATTATTGCAGGGTCTTTCAAGGTAATAATAAATTGTGAAGCGTAAAGAGCATGTTTTCAAGTAGAGATATACACTATATATATAAATCTAACCGGTTATGATTTCCGACATAGAGATAAAATCCTTGACATGTTTGAGTTATCCTTACCATACTGTATCATCATTACTTGTCATCCACTAAGTTAAGTTGTCTCGCAAAAGTACAACAATAAAAACGAAAGACTCACCAGATCAAAAGAGTGTCTGTCGAAGTGAGGCTGTATATGCTTCCGGACTTGAACACTGCAATAAACAATGAAATACTTAGTAAGTCATTTTTGAAAAATCTTATCAAGGATTTTGCCTTTCTATTTTCTTTTGATTAGACATAATACAGTGGGTGTGGCATTCAAAAAGGTCACATTCAACGAAAAGTCGGCTCCTCCAAAGAGGCAATCTTAATCCCCGATTTTTTCCTCTATATTTCTTTGTAATGTACGTCAGTTCCAATGAGGTTGCAAACAGATCGAAGTCGCTTTCAACAAGGTTGTGATAACCAAATAAAAGCATTTAGCGGCCCAAAAAGCGAAAAAATTTTCTCCTTTCTCTCCATCTCACGTGAAAAACAAGACCCATCCTCGATGCCTAACACATGGTACTGCTAGATCATGCGCGCTTCCTAATATGAACCCCAAAGCCAAGAGCATGGGCGAGGGTAAGCCTACGGTAGGGATGGGAGGGGGTAGGAGGGAACCTGATGCGGGCTGTATGAAATTGGATGAACTTTGGATGGGTAGGTCTAAATCGAGACCTTCATTTTTTTTTCAATTTTCTTTTCTTCCCCTGATCAGAAAATCCAAGCTGCTCCCACCTTTACTTTATGTAGATCTAGGCCTAGATGTGAGAGGGTATCTTTCCACACGAGAAGTGTTCCGGAAAAGAAAATATTATAAATGCAGAAATGACGGTTAGAACACAGCTCAAACACGAGCACACTGATGCTGTTTGAGACTTTCGTCATGAGGGGGAACAGCTGTTTTAATTACTGGTTTTGGTACAACGTGTAATAATAACTTGTCTCCTTTCTTTTCTTTAGCCTTAGTCACGTTCAACAAGAGGTCGGATCCAACGAGGCCAACAAGCCAGTCCCGGCAATCTCGTTGAATGCGACACCCATAATGTGTGGACATATGGACATATAGAACAGACAAGCCTGGAAATTATAAAGGTCTTCTTTTACATGTATTTACAACTATTGCGTCTCAGAAGTGAAAGTTTTATTCTCTTATTCTGCATTAATGCAGATTGACAGTATTATGGATTGGGGGGGGGGGGTGTTAGAAAGGAGAGAGAGAAAAAGACTGAGAGGGAGAAAAAGAGAGAGATGAGGGGGGAGAGAGGAGGCAGAGAGAGAAAGAGGGAAAACACAACTACAATGAATGGTTTTTACATCAGAGCGGAAAGTGCCCTTTGTACAAGGTCATTTTTTAAAAAGCCTACTTAACTCTTTTTCCCAGAGAGGGGTAAACCCACTATGCCGGGGGCCTTTTTTGGTAGTAAATCTAAAAATGGCAAAAACGTCACTACACTTGTCATTAAATCAAAAATGTGAACCTATTTCCATAGTTCTTAATTTAATGAATGAAATCCCGATAAAAGAGACTTGTAATTGCCGAAAAGTAACTAGATGTCAAAGTCGGTGTAAAGGAATGTGACTGAGCTGCTGTCAATGGTTCACCGGAGCAGGGGTCCTGATCGCGAGCTGCTGGGAGCGTGTTGCCGGAGATAAAGAATTAAGGTGCCTCAATCTCATTTTAACTGAGAGGAAAACTGCTGTACCTGAAAATGTGAAGACTGGACACTTTGCCTCACTGCGGATATCTGGTGACAGAGCTGACTGCAAACTGAAAACAAAATGAAATCACAACAATACATTATAAATCTTTAATTTGGATTTTTTTTAAAGCTGTATGTCCACCCAAACAGTTTAAACCTCAATGCTACTCTCAAAAACAATTTCAGTGGTGAATTTTGGGTTCAACAACTATCCAAAACATCACATAGATCTAGAACTTGCAAATTAGCATTCGCAATGAAAATTGACATGACATACAACTTCTTCTATCAGTAAATTTGTCTGGGCTTTCAAACCCATGAAAATTAAGATTACTGATGTAGAGAACGATACAAATATTCATTCATTTGAAAAATACTCTCTACCTTTTGTATTCATCTATCACAGGAATAAGATCACTAAAACAAAAGAGTCTAAAAGTGTTGCAACCACCACCATACAATGCGGTACACAGCGCACCGGCAGTGGAATTTTAGCTGTAGCGGGGGGTTCCCTGCCGAGCGCCTTATCACGCGGGGTCACGGGGGTCAACTCCCTGTTGCCGCTCTGTCTGGGCTGACTTAATTTTTTTTTACTTTTCAACGTACAGTTTTAGGTGTATCCTTGTATTTATGGTAATTATCATTTAATGCACCCAAAGCACGCATTTCTGCTCTTGAGACTCATAAAGAACGGACAGGGTAACTTGTCTGGTTATTTCGTAAGACGAGCTGAAGTCGGCAATGCTAAACTGTAAAGTGTTTTTGACAAATGTGAATGAAAAAAAATCAATATAAAAAAACGGCACAATAAAAACTGTCAAACTTTAGGAACACGAATGACATAGCATTGGTGCAGATACTCAATAAAAGATGGTATCTGCACATATAATAGGAAGCTGTAATTTTACAACTTTATCCATCTGGTACACAATTCGCTTTGAAGTAATTCCTCCAAATATAACTTTGTGTGTCTAATATAATCGTGAATATTCCCATATTTTCTCTAAAGTTTCTCAGAATTACCATGAAGTCTCTCTATGAAAAAGTACAAACCGATTTTAGTGCCAGATTACATCTACTATGCAAAACATGAACAGTAGTTCTAACTGTTACATTCTATAAATTCCTTATTTTTCTTAAAACGCTAAGTCTAGGTTTTGCAAGTTGACTGAATAACAAGGATGACTTCTTGCTATTGTGTTATAAGAATAATTTCTACCTTTCCAGTGACACTGAATCAGCACCAGACTTTTCCAGCTTTTATTTTCGTTGCTATGACCATTTGCAAATAACTGACAATGATCTAATTTCTTTACATTCATAAGTGTACACGCATATCATGTCTGACACAAAAACTAAGAACGAATGTGTGTTAGCTGTCATTACTTTTATTCCATACAAGAAGTGCATCTCTACCCATGTATTAACACAGTTTTGTGGGGGTTTTTAAAAATAATATGTCTTTCTTAGTTGTGCGCAGGCTGCCACAGACACAGCATGCTTCATGAACAAAAGCAGAGTGACTTTCTCTTGTTTAATGGTAGAACAAGAGCTAATGCTGAGTGTCTTTAGTTAAAAAGTGCAAATGTGCATCTTTCTTCTTTTACTAGACACAGACCCATTCTACGATCGGTGATACAGTGATAGGAAAGCCCAAGATAAAATGTTTGTACCGGTTCCTGATTCATCGCCGTAGGGACCTCTGAGTAGACAACATTGCTGGTATAATCATGCGCCATCTGGAACTCCGTCCCGGGCAGCAGGTCTGTTTGCATACATCCTAATAGAGTCCCTGGAGCCAACACGACTCATTGCGACATATAATTGTCAATGTGAAATAAATCATCCGGTAAAGAAACCCCTATCCTTTTCAAAGTCTGTCCCTGAGCTTTGTTGGCAGTCATTGCAAAAGCAGGTCTAACCGGAAATTGTTTTTGTCGAATATGGAAGGGAAATATGTTGTCTGAAGGCATGAGGGGAATCCTTGGGGTGGAAAGTCTCTTTCTGGCATGTAGACCGCAAGCAACGACTACATCAATTACATGTTGATGAAGATGTTGAACCACATATCGAGTCCCGTTGCAGTGGCCGTTTGTGGGATCCAAATTTCTCAGCAACATGACAATGTCAGTTTGAGGGGTGGCATTCCTGACGGACATAGAGAATTGATAAATTCGATGGGGTATTGGCGTTCATTTTCTTCCACCGAATCACTGCTCCTGTAGACTTTTTCTTCTCCGGGAAAGGACTGCATGATCAGGTTGTTGTGTGTTGGTGGGACAGATGATGCATTGGGAAGCCAGCCAGTCAGGATTCGTGTTAGACTGCAAGTTACCGAAAACAACATGTATCAACTCTCGTTCGCTGTTCACTGTGATGTCATCTGGCAGTCTTATCGCAAACTCCCTGATTTGCTTGCATACGTTGTGTTTGCCATCACCAATGTTCAGTAGATAGTTGGAGAAATCAGCAGTCTCACCTGTAAGCAAAACCCTCATGTTTCTTGTCAGTCTGAGCACATTAACATGCTCCCGCAGATATGATGATTTCAGGGTTGCATTGACTGTCTGTGATCTTGAGCCATGGCAAACAACTGGCAGTATTTGGCGCCAGTCACCCGACATCAGCACAGTTAGCCCACTGAACAGAGAGTTATTCCCACATGTGTCTTGAAGAGTTCTGTCTATGGCTTTAAAGATGCATTTGTGGCACATCGATACTTCATCAATGATGAGCAGCTCAGTTTGGCATAATAAAGTGCTGCTGGCATCTCGGGGACTCACACTGCACATGGACTGTCCATTCACACAGAGAGGTATTTTGCATCTGCTGTGTAATGTCCTGCCATTTGAGAGCAGAGTTGCTGCAATGCCTGACAAAGCTGTAGCAAGGGCGATCTTCTTAAAGGAACGGACAGCCGCAAGAATCAGGTTTATAGTGTGGGTTTTCCCAGTCCCTCCACTTGCCTCCAGGGCAAATATTTTGCCTTGCTTCTGTACAACTGACTCTATCACAGCATCATACACGACTCTTTATTCTTCATTAAGCTTTGGGTAGTCTTGACTCACCTTCTCTCGCAGGTTTTTTGCGTCAAAATTTAACTCCTCGTGGACAATTCTTGGTTGTTCTCCCTCAATGTGACTGTGTTCTGCAGGTGGAAGCTGAAAGTCTTTATGCAGATTCAACCCATTATTATCAAGAGTGTTTTGAAGTTGTAGCAACACTTGGTTCTCAATCTGCGGATTCAACTCTGTGACCTTGTCTCTCATCATGATGTCCCGGCACAGCTCCAATTTGTGCTTGTGCGAAAATGAGAGAGGATCAGCTGGGCGACGATAGATGACAATGGTTGTAAAGGCAAGACGTAACTGGGGACCAAATCTTATGGGAGATGCTTCTTGCATTGCTGCATCCTTCTCAGTGTCACCATCGAGCAGTCCAAGTTGGTTGCATGCATCTTGATAAGATGTGCAACTTGATCCACTTACTCGATGAAGCACAATATGAAGCGGAAGTAGTTCCCAGTAACAAAAAAAATATTCCGTGGGCCAATAGAAGCAGCTAAAATAGAACTATGTGGCATATACACACGACAAAGCACAAACGGCACTTCTGTTCTTGCTAACTACTGCAAAAAAGTACAAATCTGTCGCGCACACTCGACAAAACACAAACCACACTTGTGTCCGTGTTAACTACTCAAAAAAAGTAGAACTCTGTGGCACACACACGACAAAGCACAAATCGCACTTCTGTTCTTGCGAACTACTCACACGCACAAAGAAGCACAATATGAAACGTATAGTCCCCAGTAAAATATTAAATGGCTAATGGCAAAGTGAAAACATCGGAGAGCTTCGATTTACAGGAAAAACCGTTAAACCTGAAAAATCAAAAGGTAGTTCCCGAACATTGAAAATATGCCCACGTAACCCTTTGGGGTAATTCTTGTCTAAATCATATTTTTCTAGATTTTATGAGCACCTGTGTAAAAAGTTTTTACTGACCCCACAAACAGACTTAGCTCCATTATAAGATCACTTGACTATTACTACTTGCGCAGATTTAAGATTTCTCAAGATAAAAGACATGATATTCGTAGTCAGTTTAACACAGATTTTGGAGAGATCTGTCGTGCTGTTTTTAACTAAACAATCATTTATTCATAAGTACGTTAACTAAAAGAGGACAAATTGGATACTCTACAAACACTTGACTTACAAGAAAAACTAAGGCACAGAAATTAACCATTAAAACGCAGAATAAATCTCAAGACATTGAGCTTTTACTACATACGTGTAGTGGTTTGCTGTGTGGAATGGGGAAGAAGTTATATCATTTCAAACGTAGACAAAAATCCGAACTTCTTAACCGACACCAGCAAAGTCACTTCAGGGCTCATTAACTCCGTGACTCCGAGGCGGGGAGCTCCGGCGGGCTGCTGAGTCACGCTAACTAAAGGTAACAGAATCGGGGCGAAAAGTGACGCCGTAGATAAAGTTATCAATAATAATATCTAATCTATATGCTAAATGCTCATATATAGATACATATCTAATCATACCTGAATAAAGCAACATCCCCAAACTTGTTTCCAGCTGCAAGGTACCGACCACAAGGTGAAAAAGAGGTGTCGTACACAACTGTGTGGAGCATGTACTGCAAGGCCTCTCGATGCTGTTCAGTAGAAAATAGATTTATAAAACTTTTTAAATAATGCAAAAACAAACTCAGTGGAGCTTGATTTTTAATGGAAGCGTTTAAAGATCACTACATTCTCTTTATTTCTCAGTTTTAAGAGGCGTAATTTATTATTTAATTAATATGAAAATACAGAGATCAGAGTTGATAACAGCTTCGCATTCCTTTTTTACAGAGTTATGATTAACCAGAAAGCAAAAAATGTATTCAGACAAACTTAAATATTTATAATAATGAATGAAAGCTCAAGGGGCATGATGACAGTGGTGCATTTCAAGAGGAAAAACCCCCCATTCAAAAAAACGTTTTCATCGACAACTGCATAGTGGAAGTAGACTTGTACCTTGATGGTTCCCCACATTTCAAGTCACACTGGAAATATTTTTCTCCAACATTAACACACGTGAGACATGGCTTTTATACACTTACATCTTTAGAAGACATTGTGCCACTGCTGTTCTAAAGTGTGGTCAATCAGTTTTTCAACTGACTCCTGTCAAACGAAACGGATGTTAATCTGAAAATATAATCATATATGAAAAATAAGGGGGAAGTACTCATGCAGTGGAGTCTGCAGAGAAGAAACTTTCAAAAAGTGAAATTAGCCGCAAGCATAGCATTCCCAACACAAGGATGTTGACAATCATCACTATTTAAGCAACCCTCTATAAACTGAAAACAAGGCTAAAGCAAAGAAGATCCGGTGGTCCCATAGATTTCAGTTTAAACGGACTCCACTAATACTGTGTACATCAGTCTGTAAGGTAGTATTATAATATATCAGTAAGAGCACACTATGTGCACATGCATGTATCTATAGGTTTATAGGCTCTTATACTCTGTAAATAATTATAGGTGGAATCACATGAGCCGAGTACCGTACCAAATGAAAAAGGTAATTAACATTTGCCTTTGAATGAAAATGTCGGCCCCGGCGGTCCCGTTTTTACAGCCAGGACTAGAGATATACTTTTGGGTAGTCACAGTGCAACATTCTTCCCCAAATAAGTCAGACAATTTCAACTTTGACGTCTTTGAATGATCCAGTAATAGTATTGAACAGTAACAGTAGGCCCTTCTATTCCTATAAACTAAAGGCCGTCTTTATTCGGACTCGAGTCCGAATAACATTTTTTCATATTCGGACTTGAGTCCGAATAAAAAAATTCATATTCGAACTCGACTCATTGATACGCCCCTCCCCATCCCCCATGTTACCCACTTTCTTTGTTGTAGAAAAAGTTAAAATTGAAGATTAGCAGACCATCTGGCACTAAAAACTGTTGCAAACGAGATGTTTTGCCTAGCTTTCCATCTAGATCTAGATCTATCTATTATTTTGGTGACTTTAGCAGGCACACCCTTATATCTACCCCCCCCCCCCCCCCCCCCTTCCTTTTCTACCGGAGTAGATCTAGATCTAGTGGTGGTCGGCTAATGTTCAAAGAGGCCTAGAAAAACTAGATCTCTACATCTTGATCTATGCCGAGTTGCCTTTCCTGAAACAGTGTGGCAAATATGTAGCTTAATAAATCTACCTCTGGTTGTCGGAAGTTCTGATAGCCGTATGGGCAGCGTGTTTGCGTCTGAAGTCATACAATTATGTTTAAGAGTGTGGGAACGAACCCCGGTCCCGGAAGTTTGTTTTTTTTGTTTTCTTTTGTTTGTTTTTTCCCCCTCCTCTTCTTCTCCTCCTCCCTACCTAATGACCAACAATTGTTCCCCATAATGATAATTTGTTGCTTTATTTTCTATGTAGTTATGAATCATGCACATTCTGGTTTTGTCCCCAAGAGGAGCTTTTACCAGCAAAGTATAGTAACAACAGAATAGGCCTACTTTTCCTTTTACCAGTTTAGGCCTGGTTAAAGTTCAATAGGGATTTTCCTTTGTCTGTAAGTCGAATCATTTTTTATTTTTTTATTTTAGCCCAGAGAGGCCAAATTTCAGCTCCTCAATTGCAAATTTTCTTCAGCTTCAGGGGCCCTCTTGCGGCCCCCAGACCCCTGCCAATTATTATTAATATTCCCCTTGTTTGGGGTCCAGGGCCAAGCTGGTTCCGAATATGAAATCAGTTTTGACGAACGGTAATTTTTTTTTTTTTTATTTCAGTCCTGAGTTTAATTCTGCGCAGCGGCAAATTTCAAATTGAATCTTCGTCGCAGCGCGTCTCCCTCAAATCTGAACGTGATCGCACGGAAAATATAAAGCCACCCTTGATTTCTTGACAGAGTCTCCCAACCATCGTTCAATCGTCCAAATTTTGTAACAAGTGTAATCTTGTGGTTACACTTACACCTAACGATCTAGATTCTATCGTATGATCGCTAGATCATCCAGTTTTTGTACAATTTATCGTTACGTGTAACCGGGCCTTTATCCAATCTATCGTCCAGTTTCCTTTCGACCGAGGAGATTCCTCATCTTAAAGCCACCATGTCTCTTTGCGACGACAGCGATTTGCCTGTATATAAATATCTACTCTACTCTATACAGTGGAACTCCGATTCAACGAGGTCGTTGGGCCTGACCTAAAATCTCGTTGAATCCGAGTGTTCGTTATAGCAAACATGAGGTTCTGTGTAGATAATTACATGAACTGAGCAAGTAATGTATAAAGAGAAGTCATAAGTAGTGCCTGAAATGCCTGCATATTATGAGCTGTGTAAAAAAAAAGACCGATTCGTTCAAATACACAAGCCTGTGTCATCTCGATTATGTTTACCAAGAAAAAGTTGTGTTGCTGTGTAGAGCCGAGCATACGGCAACTTTTGATTCCATAGACCAGCGCACAATTCATTACGTAGATCTACGTCAAGACTAGCTTATTATTGCAATAATGATCAGTTTTGCCGGGGGAAAAAAGACTGTGACGCGTGTATGCGACGTTCAACGCCCAGACCGTTAGTGCCCCCCCCCTCCCCGACACGCACACACAGCCACACGTGTGCAGGCCGCCCATGATCCCATCCGACCCCGACACACGCTAACGAGCCATTTTAATTGCTTCTGATGACCTCTTGACAAATAAACATTTATTAGAAGGGCTATAACTTTTCTGATCAGGCCGGCCTCAAATTCATATAATAAGATAAAAACTCGGCTCCTGCACAAAATGCCATTTCGCCTGAAGTGATCCCGGTCTCTACCCAGCCTGAGGCGAGTCACGAGTAAGGCAGGACAGGAAGCCGGAGTCACGAGTCACAGGAAGTCGGAAGTGATGTCATGCTGGACAAGAATCAGAGTCCGAATAACATTTTTTCATATTCGGACTCGAGTCCGAATAGTCACTTAGTAAATTAAAATATAAAATAATTTACAATGTCTCCCAAGCCAACCCAATTCAAAATACACAAGGTTTACGTCTGTACAATCAAGTAGTCTATCATTGAAATTGAATAAAGTAAAAGTTTTTTTATAGAACTCATTCTATAAAATAAATTACTAAACAAATCAGGCAAGATGGAAGAATACCGGACCAGCAGTCTGACTTTGCCTATGTCTCAACCTTAGGAATTCATAATTTTCCCGTTTTTAATATCTCTCAATGGAGAATCTCGGACCAGTAGATCTATTCATTAAAATTTTGTCAGGGGGGAGACCCCCCTCTTCAAAATTCCCACAAATCAATTTAATTTTATTTCTTGATTTGAAATGGATAATGATAGGTACAGGATCTCTGTTTCATAGGCCAACACTAGATTTACCCAAAGAATACACTACACTAGATATTCTAGATCTAGATCTAGATCTAGATCTAGAAATCTAGAAATCTAGAACTAGAATCTACACACAACGTCAACATATGATTTTGCAATCATTAAAAATTAATCATTGAATTGAATTCATTCATATCATTCATTGCATGCATTTTACCAATCAAACTTACTTAAACACCTTTTATTAACCTATTAACGTTTGATCTACGAAAATGAGATGCTAAATGATTTAACACGGTACGCATAGTCCGAAAAAAGGAGAACTACATCTAGAGATTTAGATAGCTATGAAATATAAGAATCTTGTTTTTAAAGCAATGTGCCGGTGCAGCCTGCTACTGTTATGAGTTAGGAAAGGGACGCTACTCTCCAATCCCAAGCCTCTAAAATGTGTATTATCATACTGTGTCTGATATAAGGCTATCAGGCTAGTGCAAAATAAAGACAATACGATCATCACTTTGTACAATTTAAATTTCTTTTGCCCCAAACTATGTTAAGATTTGATGAATATTTAAAAGTATATTTTTTCTATGCTGTACTTAAAGAAGACTGAACAATAGAAAAAAGAAAGAAGAAAAAAACACTGTATTTTTGTATTCGCATGGTGTGGCTGATAGGCCGAGGCTTTTCAGATTAACCATTGGAACTCTCTCCAAATAGAATTCGGGAATAGGTCCTCAGCTTGTCCTCAGCACACACTCACTACTCAGTACTCTCACTACTCACACACACAACACAGCAAGGCAAGAAGACTCATTCATCGGTTGTTTTGCATCGGAACTGGAGCTGAGCTGTAGTTTCCTAGATCTATAAAGATCTAGATTTTAAGATCAGGACCCTCTTCCCCTCCATAGGTCTCTGACGAGAAAAACAGCCCAGGACAGGAAAAGTAAAAGAACGCGGTAAGCCCGAGTTTTTGTGATGGAAATGAAATGGTGCTTTTTCCATCTAGAATCTAGATCTAGATTATAGATCTAGATCTAGATTATAGATCTAGATCTAGAATCTAAATCTATCTAGATTTAGATCTAGTTCCCCCCCCCCCCCCCCCCCCCCCCCACTTATTTGAGCCCAGAGATCTACACACATTTGATGCGCTGCGAGCTAAGATATCAAACTTAACTGCAAAACATCAAATTAAATGGTAATGCCCCCCTGAAACCCCCCACCATATTTTTATGGCCAGCTCTAGATCTATTTCTCCAAGAAAGTTGCTATTCTCACCCGCCCGGAAGTTCTCGCAAGATCAACTCCTCCCCTCTTCTCTCTCTCTCTGTCTCTTTCTGAATACTGTCTATTGGTGTGGACGATCAAATTGACCAAAACAAAGTTAAAAAATGATGTTAAAACACAAAAGTAAATTAATTTGGTTGTCTACAAAGATGCTACGGCTATTTAACTTTTCGAATCGAGCCGAACTACGCGGTCGCCATTTTGTTTTGCCCGGAAATTCTCGCGCTACTCCTCTCTCTCTTTCTCTCTCTCTCCACTGCCCACAGACAAAATTGTACGCTTTTAGTTAGTAGGCTACAGTTGTAATGGAACATTTGTTCACGGCACAGAATACTACAATTTTTCTGTTATCACAGTGTAGAATTCTGTGGTTTAGGGTGAACGCAAAATTTGGTGACCACGCACCGGGTGAGAATAGCCACAAGACTCGCCTGCACTATTCTCACTCCGGGTGAGAATAGAGGTGGCCTTTCTCCAAACGTTCGAGAAAATATAAACTTGCACTCTATTTCTCCTAACAACGGTTTCCGTTCTCGAGAATTGTTGATAATAAGCGAATGGAGTAGCCTGTGTGTGAGAGAGTGTATGTGTGAGTGTGCATGTGTAGCATTGCCAATCGCCCGCTGCGCTTTGGGCCGGAAATCGGCCTCCGTGCGAGGGATAATTTTTGGGCCGCTCGGAATCAGAAGTGACTCTCTTCTAAGTATAGTTACAGGAAAACTCCTGGACGAAAATAAATGAAACTCGGCAACCAATCAGAGGAAAGGTTAAACTAACAAAATGCCAGCGTACAATCCCGAGCGATTACTAGATTCTAGAACCGGAGATATTGCCGTGTTTGTGCGAATTTCCTCTGCAGTTCGAAAACTAAGCGGAGCTGCAGGTTGATCGCCGACCAAGTGCCCCACATGTCTTCTTTATTGCTGTAAAATTTCAGATCTCTGCGTTTAGTAGATTTTACGTACCAACTTAAAATTACCACCCATCCATTGATAAAACACTAGAGCTGGAAACTAGATCAACGCATTCCAAACGCGAGGTGCCGGCATGCAAGAGGCGCGTGATCGCTAGGCGGCATGTGATTGGCTGCCTATAACTAAATATGTCACCGATGACTACATCACAGGTTTTCCCGATAGCGCTTTACTGAGTTTTAGAAGGGGTGATCACGTCGCGGTAAAAACGATGTCACGCAATTCAACAAATTTCACGCAAATATGTCTTTAAGATCCAAAGTAATAAAGACATCAAAAAAATGATAGCAGAACTAGATTCTGCACAAAAAATCACATGAAGGTACCAAGTTTCATTCATATGCTCCAATTCATTACTGACTTATGAACAGTTTTTCCTCAAAATACATCAAAACATGTCCCACATTTTGGCGATTTTTTCCTATATGAAGGTCCTCCAACATTTTGCAAACAAAAATTCCAATAACTTTTTTATTTATCAATGGATTTTTAAAATTTAAAAACCATAGTTCTTAGAATTTACTCTTTTTTCATTTAAGCCCAATTTTAAGCAATTTGGATGAAAATTTAATTTGTCATTGTCATTGCTAGCGTGTGTATGTGTGTGTAAGGTGTGAAAGCGTGGAGGGATTTTTATTTTTACATGAAGGATTTTAGTTTCGAGGTGTATACAGACCCGGTAACCGGGAACAAAGTCACGAAGTATACAGACCCGGTAGGGGAACTCTTTTGTGATTTCGGAAAGTTTTAGCGCCCAGACCCGGTAGTGTGTTTGTGTGTATGTGTGTGTGTGTGTGTGAGAGAGAGAGAGAGAGAAGTGCTAGCAAAATATGACATGCCCCAGTTGGCAGGAGGGAACGAGAGTAAGATAGAGTGGGAAATAGGTGACGAGAGAGAAAGACAGAGACAAACAAAGAAAAAGAGAAGGCGAGCGATACACAGAAGAGAGAGAGAGAGGGGGTCACTGCTTGATTGAAATTATGCATTGTTCTTTTCTTCAAATTGTGATTCCTCCAACTCCGAAACGGAGGAAAAATGATCGTTCATCGAAAAGACATCCGCAATCTTCATTTACATCTAAATCTAGGCTAGCCTCGAAACTAGATCAATGATTTTTATGTCTGTCTGTCTAGATCTAGACCTAGGCCATAGATCTAGAAGAACCTAGGTCTACCCTGAGCCAAGAGGGCGCTGAAACTTTCCGAAATCACAAAAGAGTTCCCCTACCAGGTCTGTATACTTTGTGACTTTGTTCCCAGTTACCGGGTCTGTATACACTCCCTTTAAGTTTTTGCTGGAAGACTAAAACTAAAACTAAATGCAACCAGCTCTGGCTCAATTCGGACTCGTGTCCGAATATAATTTTTATTTATTCGGACTCGAGGGTTTTATCTATTCGGACTCGGATGCAAAAAAAATGTTTTATTTCTTCGGATTCAGCTTCTAAGTGAGTCTTGTGAGTGTAAGGAAGTTAGGCCTACATAGATCTATAACCGTCGGGGGATTTCCCGTAAAACCAGAATTAGAACTAGAATTGCCTATTAGGACTGTGTAATTGTGTGAAAAGTCAAAAGACTGCACTCTCATTAGATCTACCCAATGGTAGTGTTTAAGTACACGGTAACCAACTACTCATGGTCTTTCCACCACCACTACTACAGCATCATCATTACTTCTACCACCAATTGTCTTTCCATATATGTTTAATTTCATTTTATTGTGTGTTAATAGTTTTCTGTAATGTTCTTTTTTTTTTTATCACATTGCACAAAACCGACAGCTGTGGCCTCTTCCCAACACCTCTTCCCCCAGCAAGCCGAGAGTGCGAGACCGCTACGCGCAGTCTCATTGGTCGACATAGTTAACTTTGCCCCCGGCAAGGTCAGCTCAACTTAATCGTTCTGTTCACACCAATGATGCAGGGAGGGCCAGTTTAGATAGAAGATCTAGTAACTGATTAAAGCTCACATCTCGACTGTTATCATTATAATTGAACTAGTGTTCGTAAATTCAGGAAATATTTAGGAACAAGGGTCGGAAGTCGGAATGGACGTCATGCTTGACTCAATTCAGAGTCCGAATATAAATATTTTTCTCGAGAGTCCGAATAGTCACTTCGAAATGCAAAAATAGGAGTACTGCCAAGGTCGAGCAGTATTGTTTTCTCACATTACCTTTTGAAGGTACAGTCAACCCTGTGTAAGATGGCCACCCATTGTCAAGGAGAAAAGTGGCCGTATAAGACATGTGGCCGTCTTAGGCAGGACTGATCAAGATGAAGAAAACAAACCCCATTCCCAATCGAAAGTAGCCGCATTATTGTTGTTTTTGTTGTTGTTGTTGGTTTGTATTTTGTTGCTGATTTTGTGCAAGGGTGACAATAAAACGAAATGTGTCAGACAAGGAGGACCGAGTGCTATGGTAAAACAAACATATGGGACACCACCACTCGAAGGACGAGCGACGCTTCTGTCACAAGTCCATGTTGACGTCCATTGTTACTTTGTTACAGACTGGGTAAACAGTGACCACTCATCTCACTTACGATTTGTGTATGAGTTCTGGGCGGGGCTTATGGGTTATATTCTGCAAAGCATAGTTTCATGTACTGGTTAAAAGTATATATATATTCAAATAAACAACCAAAAGCAGACATTAAAAAATTTTAACAGTATGAAAATCGGATAACTCTCTAAGCCATCCTTTTATTAGATCAGATTTTTTTTTCTCCTGAAGAATTTACATGTCATCACTTATCTAATCTTATCACGACTGCGACTGATTTTTGCAGTTTTTGCATTAGCGAAATTGTTTACTCATCTTGCCAGCCTTTTTTGTTGAAGATATGATTAATAAATTTAGTAAATGTAGCTTACTAGAATTCAGGGTTCAAGTCTGAGGTGGAGTTTTTTGTGTCCTTTCTAGAAAGAATGTTACATTTATTTCCCTCCAACCGGGTGTTCCGGCACAGGATGGAATACTCCTTCGAAATGACCTAAAATGAGTTTTAACAGATGTGATGTCACCTTTTTCTAAAGAGGTTTCATTGTAGGTCTATCTACAACCTCAATTTATACCACTTGTATTTTATTTGGGTCATAACCCTGTTTCACAAATGTCCGTGGTGTAGCGGTAAGGCGCTTTACCATGGCACGCAGTAGACATGAATTCAGTTCTTGTGGGGGTAAGATTTTATCAAGTATCTCAGTCTTTCTGTTGAGACATTGTATCCCTCTCAGTCTCAACCTGGGATGACCATGACAGGCAGAGTCAAAACCAGCCTCTTAAATGATCGACTTTGTATTGATAGTGGCGTAATAAACCGACATTTTTATTTAATCTTGAATCAGCTAGTTTATTTTTTTCTTTCTACAGTCGTGAAGTCAAGTGGGGGACAGTCTGAGAAGTTGAATTTCAAGAAGTTTGCAGACAGAGAAGTCTTTGTGACATCCGGTCCAATCATGCTGCCTAAGGAAAACGTTGCCAAGCAGGTGTCTCAAAAGTTCTCGCCGTACCTGCCCTCATTTCAGGATGTTTTTGATGAAGAATCTTTTTACATATGTGCTTTCCTCATCACGATGGTAGCGTTTATTGGGGCATTTATGGCCTCTCGATATGTTAACCTTAAAGATGCGGGTCATCTAGATTAGCAGTTTCTTTCCTCTATTCCTCTTCTTCCTCTGATCATATCACTGCTCATGCTTTTGGCTGTTTACATCCTCCTACTATTTTTTCCCATTTGTACCTTTTTTTTTTGTTGTTGTGTAACGGCAATTGTGGTGCAGTTTGTCGATATACTTGACTGACTGGTATGTAGAAGTTTAGGGCTTGAATTTGAGTGGGTCCGAATATATGATGACTCACCCTTTTCGGATGCAATTTTTTTGGTTTCTCAGCCCAGTTTCATGGGAGTGGTATGGGGGGTGGTTGACACGTATGCACATGCGTAAATTGCCTTTGAAATTGACTGAATGGACTGCGGTATGTTTTTAAACGGAGGTTAAGTTTTTTTTTAATTTATCTTAAAAATGTGTTCTTGCTTTTTTTCTTGCTTTGTGCAACCATTTTGGACCGTCCTTGTTCTGTGTACTAATGCAGGGATCACCAAACTTTTTTTTAAAAGGGCCGTATAACTGGGAGAATACCAAGGGCAGGCCTAATAACTATATCTTAAGACAATACACAATTAAATGAATCCATTTTTTTATTACAGCAATGAACGTATTAATTTATCAATACACTAAAAATAAAAATAATAAAACTCTCAAAAACAGAAAAACGAACCTATGTAATATTTGTGGAATCCCCATGTGTGGATGAAGAGGGGACCCCTGTTTGTTGTTGGAATGTTTGAATGGAAGATTTGCCCATCCTTCTTTAAAGTCTTTTGTCAACTTTTGGCAAAGGTGTGCTTCTTGAGGACAAAAATTGTTTGTTCCTCTTGATTAGAGTTTAAGTTTTAAAGTGCATCTCCAGTTCCTTGTGTTGTGACTTTTTGTGGCAGTGTTCGTTTTGGCTTCATGTTCTTGATTTTTTACTTTTGCATGAACAAAGGCATTTTTGCTGAAGCATAAATTCTGTTCAGTATCATTGAGTAAAGAAATACTGTACCAGGGAGACTGAGGTATAGGCTGTAGTACATGTTGACATCAACCGAGGAGATGGTTGTGAAAGTGTGAGCCTCTTCACTGCGTAGAGACTGCCACTTTGTATGTCATTGATCAGTATGTATCATGTATGTGTTAAATAAAAGCATACCACCATGTAGGGGCCTACTTTGACTCTTTATCATACTTCATACAGTGTTTTCTCATGGCAACGTGCAATCAGTGATCCATATTTTATTGTTGTTTCACCTATAATACAGTTGTTTGCTTCCAGTCCCTTTGATTAGTGCTGTTCACCTTCTTTCTGTTTCCCCCATCTGAATAGTGCCCCCCATCTGAATAATGCAGAGCATGCTGTGTACAATACAAATTAAAAGAAAGTTTTTAATCATCATCCAGCAGCACAATGATGGACATTTTTCCATAGTCGGTTCACTTTCTTTTGCTCACAGTTTATTGCAATTTTCTCAAAAACTGTTGTTGCCCTGCCTTTTTACATACAGTATTTTCCGCTTGTATCGACATGCTTTGGGAAGTGGGTTTGATGTCGATATATATATATATATATATATATATATATATATATATATGTCGATAAATGGAAATATATAAAGCCGAATAGGAAAAAACAAGGGGAAATCAGCGGTAAAAAGACAACACTACTTTTTTTTAAAAGCTTGTTGCTTCCCTTGATTCTTACACAACTACACAGTAAGACTAACGAGAGGCAGAGGGGAGGGGGGGTGGCATGGTGTTACGGTACCAAAGACCGAGCAACGCGACCAACGCAAACTTTGTTGTAGCATCCTTGGAAGGCCTGTTTATGGCCACTTGCTGAGGAAAATGGAAAGGTGAGGCACCGACTCTCTGACCGTGGCACTTGCCAACGACAGACTGAGGATTGGATGGGGAAGGGGAGTGGGGGTAGGGAAGTGATGTCCAGGGCTTGAGACGTTCACGTCTGTGAGGCACTGAAGGCCCCTACTGTGTTGGAGACTATACTGTGTCACTTTTTCACTACATGACCTACTAAAGCCTCGTGTGTCAAAAGGCTACTTGACGGGTATGCAGACTTAATGAAGAACTAATGCGTTGACCGTTAGCGTGGTTTTTTCCCCCATTTATGTTCATGGGCTTCACCAGGTACCCAGGAAACATGTCGATATAGCAGTGTGGGTCCAAAAAAAAGTTGACATAAGAGAAATTGTGTAATGAAGATGTTGAAGAAAAAATTTGTAATTAAAATATATGTCGATATCATGTCAAAATGTCAATACATCGGCTCTCGATATAAGTGGATTATACTGTACAGTTTTACATTTTCACTGAATTCAAGATTTTTATTATTATGTCTTTTATTTACCATGGTTGTGTAAATTCTAAATATTGTATTTATTTAAGCAAGGTCTTTTTTCCACAATAATTAGACGGAGGTGAAATCAGATGGCTTCAGTTTTCGCAGGTTGAAAAGTATTTCTAAAGGTCAATAGCATTTCAAACCCATTTTCAAATTCCCAGTGCATTTAGTTTATTTAGTCAGTAGATAACTGAGGTATCAGTTCAAACTTTGGCTCGAGAAAATGAAGGGTGCACAGTTCAGTTAGTATTGTATGCTTGAAATCACAGTGCAGTTCCTAGTTTTTTAAAGGTAGGATTATCTATCGTTGAGCTGAGCTCACCCCAAGGTGTGAAGTTTTCATACTTTGAGAGATCATGTAGTACCATGCTACTATAAGGCTGATCGTGCTTTGATCTGGAGTAACATTAGCTGGAGATCACTGTACACTAAACTATTTTAAAAGAATGGACTTTTGTTCCTCAGGCCATAAAAGATCATATAAATTCAGCCAAATTATCTGAAAGTATCTGGCTAAACTAAAACTAGTAAAACAGCACTTGGACACGAATTGCTGGTACCTCTATAAATAAGTCATTATATTAGTAATGGTCTAAAAGTATCTTAGATTTTTGTTTTACATGACATTAAACTTTGTTAGATCTGATCTATTTTGTGCAATATCTGCAATTTTACTTTTTATGGGTTTTGCTCAAAGAAATTGTCTTTTTTTTTCATCAAGCTAAGATGGTGCAATATCTTGCAGTCTGATAAACTTCTTAGTTATATGATGAGACATAATACAGTGTACATTTAGTATTTAACACATAATGTATTGTCATTGTCATGTCTCAAAATGTGCAATATTTTGAAGGTACCACTTTCGGTTTTGTTTTCTTTTATTATATTACTTGAAATGTAGTCTCTTACGAATAGACTATATAATGTGCTTGAGGTTGAATAACTATTGTTATTATTACTGTGTACATATTATATATTGATCTGGATGTGTAAGCCTACCCTGAGTAGGCCTACCTAGATCTACTTTTGATGAGATTGTTCCACCTTTTTCCCCTGGAATTAAATACACACCATATATATGTGAAATATGATAAAAATGTATCCCAATGTTTTTGATCTCTTGTTATTTAATGTTACTTTTCACTTTTGTCCCGTTCATGTGTACAGATGTGTTGGCTTGAGGAACGATTGCAATGTAGCCTATTAACTAGAGGCAATTGCTACATTTATGCTAGATCTAAACCAATCTCCTGCTCCCTAACAATGTTCTATCATCTACTTTCGTCTCTACTTTCTGCCCCCACCCGCTCACCTCCTTTGCCCCCTGCTCTGGACTCCTGACTCATTCTGCAGCTTTTTTTACTGCTAGTCCTTGACTCCTAACTCCTTACTTCTGTCTTTCTGCCACAACCCTGTTTTCTACTTCTAGTAGGAAAAATCTACACCTAGCCTTCTCGAACAAAGGGCAAAAAGCCTCAGGGGTCCCGTGTGCAAGTTGCGCACATTAATTAAAGATCCCTTAATGGTGGTCCAAAATCGATAAGAGTAGGCTTCGGTCGCCACCCGACCAAAATTCAAAATTTCCTACCAACTGAAAAATGTTTAATTTAATGTGTCCCGCACGCTCATATGACCTTATGCAGTTGCGAGCGCCGTAAAACACTTACCAAAACAACAACAAAAAACCAAAAACCCAATCTGTTCCTGATTCCTGGTCAAATGTGGTCGATATGTTGATTTGTGTGAATAACTCAACTCAGCGTGTGTTTATGCAGTAGATGATCTATCTAATAGAGATGTATCCACCCCTACATTAGACACTACTGCTTGACGTTACAAGCTCAAGTTTGATTCTGTTTCTCACTCGATATGTTATTTGAAGCGTTTTTGCTACTCTTACTAATATTATGACTAATGGAGATGGGTGTGTTTTTAAGTTAAGATCCTACATAATTTGCAATGAAAGGGGCTTTTTAATTTGACCAGTCTCACTGTCACACTTAGCAGGACATAATGAAATGAGAATTTTTGCAGCTCTGTCTTCATGAAAGCAGAAACCTTTGTCAACAAACGGTGCCCTATGTAATGATATGTTGTTTGCCTTTCATGCGGTGAATGTGGTGAACTCAATTCCTGCATGGATGGGGCAGATTTATCGAGTATTTTGGGCTTTCCTCTGGGAGACTGGGGGAGTTAGTATCCCACAATGCACAGATTTGTCTAGGCAAACAGGGAGAGAAGCCCTCCACCCAAATTATCTAAATTATGTTGAGGAGGATGTGGCCAACCCCCACTGACACTATAAGTAGGCCTATATAACTATAGGGTCCCATAAATAACAGAAGCTGTGCGGGCCAACAGAAGAACTTGGCATACCATTAAGAGCCCAATGACTTCAAGTGTGATGCGATCGAAAAGAAGAAGATGTTGATTAGGGCGCAGCCTAGGCCTTCTCAGTCTGAGAAAGCCTAGGGCGCAGCACATCCAACAAATTATTTCAGCTTAATCCATGATTTTCTTATCCCTTCTTTTACTTTGAGCTCCCTGCTGAAAGTATGTCATAATTCTTGGAACAGGAACACCTCATACACAAGAAGATTGACTTTGACATAGATCTATGTTGCCAGAGACTGAGAGGATGAAATCTTTCTCTTACTTTCTTTCTCTTCTGTACAACATTTCATGATGATATTGATATTTCAGCGGATGCTTTCATTTAGATCTAGTAAAAAGTCCCCATCCAAAACTACAAAGTGTGGAACCTGGCTGTGAATGTGAAGTACCTTACCTTCTTAGAATTTGAATGTAATAGTGGTGGTTGTTGTATATTATAGTAGTGGTAGTATGTAGTAGTGTGAAGTAGTAGTAAGGTAATAGTTGGGTGTGATTGAAAAAACGAATGGCATTAGATGAATGTCAAGTCATTGATCTTTTGATATAAATTTTGTCCCCGTTGATTACAAACACAACAATGATGGACAAACAGATCAGCTGCACACCAGCGAGACGTCGTGCCATATGTTGGATGATGAAATAACTCTTTCACACTGTAAACTGTAAGTTGTAAGGCTGTCTGTGAGTGTAAGGCTACTGCTATGCTTCTGTTTCCTCCCCTCCCCTCTTTGCTCTCTCAATAAACCACTGGGCCAAATGCAGCATAATGCTCTACCTTTCATAGATAATAATTAAAATTAATATAACACAATAACCCAAGCTATTGTGTCTGCAGAGTCTGCTGGTGGAATATTAATTTAAGTCACGCCCAAATTTTTTTCACATCTTTTCAGTTCACTGTCTCAACCTGCGCTCTCTGTACGAGAAGAAAAGAAAAACAGACTATTGCTAGTTATTATAAATGTAATAAGAGATCAGTACTTCACGTGATATGGTGGAGTTGGAGGATAGGAACTGACTGAGAACCAAATTTTATCTAGAAATTTGTTGATGTGGGTGGTTGGTGGGTCGTGCTCTGGTGTGGTTTGCTCCTTCTTTCCTATTCTATCAAATATCTATCGCCTTTATCTCTCCTCATTCTTTTTGTGCATTGTTACTCACTTGTAACACCTGTAATCTTCGGCACTTACACTTATTACAGTGGAAACCATATAGGCTATAACAGGCCCGGTAATAACAGGGATCCGGTAATAACAGGGATTTTATAAATCCCCGTTTTTTCCTACTCTTTGTCTCTATTAAAAATTATCGGCAATAACAGGGCCTCGTCGGAGCCCAACCGGTTATAGCAAGGACAAAGGCTCGTTAACAATGTGTAAAAAGTAAGAGAGAGAGAGTAACGCAGTGATAGGGCAAGCCCACGCAAGCCATGCCCCTGTAAGCACACATCGCATGTGAAACGAGAGAGGGCTGCGGTTTGCTGCAGACCTCGATCTAGCCCGAAACCTAGCAACACGCACGCGTAATATGTCATCAACGATGTCAAGCGCAAGAGAAAATGCCTTTCAATTGACAAAAACTTCGAAGTAATCCAGGCTGTTGACAAAAGTAAAAGCAAGCTCCACTGGCAGAGATTTGTCGTTAGTTCGACATTCCACAAGGGTCGATTAACACCATTATCAAGGATAGAGAGAAGATGGTCGCAGCATATTCCAATGGAATGTTTGCTTTGGATCGAAAGAAGATGAGACTACCCGATACAGATGCTGTGGACCAAGCTTTTTCTGGTGTGGTTTAAGGAGGCAAGGAGAAATTTGGTGCCAAAACCCCTGTTCGTGGGTACTTGTGGCACGGGAAACTACCCATGAATAAGTACAGCTGGATTAGTCCACAAATGCTTACTTTCCTTGCTTTTCTGTTATAACAGGGATCGGATATAACAGGATATTTTCTCTACTCCCATCATCCCTGTTATATCAAGTTTCCACTGTATAGAACAGTTATTATATGACCTGTGGGTGGTTGGCGGGTACTCTGGTGTAGTTAGCTCCCACTTGCTTATTTTATTATCACGAAACATCTATTATGATCTATCGTCCTTATCTCCCCTCTTCCTGTCTTGTGTTTGTTACTCTCTTAGTAACACCTCTAATCTTCTGCACTTATATTATGACCTTATTGTGTTGCAAAATCCGTAAAACTCTTACCAAAAAAAAAGTTATGTTATATACGACCTTATTGTGTTGAAAGTGCCGTACTAAAACAAGAGATTTGATTGGAAATATGTTCTGATATAATGTGTGTGTGTGCGTGTGCGTGTGTGTGTGCGCGTGTGTGTGTGTGTGTGTGTGTGTGTGTGTGTGTGTGTGTGTGTGTGTGTGTGTGTGTGTGTTTGTTTGTTATTGGCAGTGGCGGGGCGTAGTGAAGGGCTAAAAGGCTTGAGCCCGACCCACTCCCACCCCTCACCCCAACTCTTTCCCTCCGTAAAATAAACTTTCGAAATGAAGGTTAGACTAATGAGAGAGAGAGAGAGAGGGAGAGAGAGAGAGAGAGAGAGAGAGAGAGAGAGAGAGAGAGAGAGAGAGAGAGAGAGAGAGAGAGAGAGAGAGAGAGAGAGAAATTTGGGGCTAATGCTAAAAGGTCGGTCTTTTTTAAGGAAAAAAAGAAAACAGGACCCCCATAACAGACGACGATTAGATTCTATCAGAGTTTGAACCTGTACCAAATGTCATAATGAATGCTGAATCTGGCACGAATAAAGAGGTGCAGATCCATCAATCAAATGACATGAATCCCGATCTCACGTCGAGTCTTTGGACGACAGCAGATCAAACTGGCAAGCAATTTCATTTCTTCTCGTTGGTTGTTTACACAACATGGACAATACAAACAAGACAAGAAAAGCTTAGGGTTTTTGTACTGTTGTTGTTTGTTTGCGCGTGTGTGTGTGTGTGTGTGTGTGTACGTGTGTGTGTGTGTGTGTGTGTGTGTGTGTGTGTGTGTGTGTGAGTGTATGTGTGTGTGTGAGAGAGAGAGATAGAGAGAGAGAGAGAGAGAGAGAGAGAGAGAGAGAGAGAGAGAAATTAGAGAGAGAGAGAGAGAGGGGGGGGGGTGCGGGTGAGGGTGTGTGTGGAAGATGGAACACGGATACAAACTCCTTTCGGGGGCCCCGGGGACGGTGGTATCGTTAAGTGTTTTACAGCGCTCACAGCTGCATTATAAGGTCATCTATTAAAATGTGTGTATATTATATGAGCGCGCAGGTCACATTAAACATGTTCAGTTTGGAAGGAATTAATCTGACAGTTAATAAATCTAATGTTAACGTGCGAATGCGCAACTTTTAATTGAACACGGGACCTCCGACATAATTCGTTCACCCTTATCCTAGAAAGCTACATGTAATAGATGTTCGATCTTACCTACCCAATGATAATGATAAGGGGGGGAGGGGGTGTAGCTGAAAGACAGCAGTACGAGGAGCCAATGAGTTGAGTATGCCTAGGCTAGTAGTTGTAGCGAAGGCAGCAGAAAGAGTCATGAGTCCAGCTAGAGGCTAGAGGATGGAGCAAATAAAAGGGGGGGGGGGGGCGCAGAAAGTTCAAAGAGCGGAAAAAGACGGTGCGTCTCGAGTCTAGAATTAGTAAATGAGTAATAATTATATCCCTTGAAGTAGGCCTACATGGTCCACATAATAATCATAGACCTATGTTCCAAGCAACTCTCTGGTTCCAAGTCACTCAAGGTTTAATTATAGGCTAGGAGACCGGCCTGGAAAGTCACTGCCGGCGGTAGCCCGCCCCTCTGGGCCTGAACCAACCAGTGCGTTCCGAGAAAGTTTCTTGTCACGTGGTACATACTTATTGTTGAGAGAGTCATGTGATAGATCGGTGTGTTGTGTTGTGGATTGCGTTCATTCAATTTCATTGTCACTTGCTTGCATACTTGTCACACGGTTCCTCAAGATGGCTCCACCACAAGTCATGAAGAGTGCTGCTCGGTCGGCTTTGGGCGTGTTTTTTGAATACGATACACCAAGAATTGTTCACATTAGAAGTAAAAAAGTCGGATTATTCAACAGATTCTTGCAGCTTTCCATTTTAGCGTACATCATTGGGTTAGTATTGTCAATGTATATAAAATTTGACAGTAGTATTAGTATTGTTTCAAGTTTCCCTGTCTATCCATCACCTGATTTAAGATCTTACATGATTCATTAGGCTACATTTCTAGATAGATTCTAGATCTAGATCTAGATTCTAGATCTAGATCTCTTGTTTATCAGTTAGACTTTTAGATATTTAGTGTCTATTTTGAAAAGATCTAAATAGTATAAATGACTATTTAGTATTTAGTCTTAGTCTTAGATCTAGAATCTAGATCTCTATTATAATGTAGGTAAAATGCAAGGATAAAAATAAACGGAAGGTTTGGCCAGTTTGGGGTAGTTTGTGTCTATACTATGTAGATCTAGATCTATATGTTGTGTTTGAACTGTTAGTCTCAGTCTCAGTGTCTCAAACAAAGTCAGAGTGTCTGTGTACTGTGTGTCATATTGTAGGCTATACTATGTATATACACTATACTTAACTATGATGTTAGACCTGCATGTAATTTGTGTCTCCATCAGTGCTAGGCTACACTATCATAAAACTATCTACATCACAGACACCTAATAGAATAGACTTCATGTCTCCGTCAGTGTGTATCTTGTTGTTACAAGTCAAGTGGTTGCTCGTTATTAGAAGTCCTCCCCGGGGGGCGGAAAAGTTTTTTGTTTTTTTGTAAAGTGTTTTACGGTGCTCGCAACTGCATTTAGGTCATATGAGCGCACAGGACACACTTAATATTTTCAGTTGTGGTAGGAAATTTTGAATTTTGCCCGGGTGGCGGCCGAAGCCTACTCTTATCGATTTTAGACCACCAAGGGATCTTTAACGTGCACAACTTGCACACGGGCCCTCCGAGGTTTTTCACCCTTGTCCGAGAAGGCTAGGTGTAGATCTTTCCTACCAGAAGATCAGGGGTGTAGCAGAAAGACAGCAGCATGTAGGAGCCAGTGAGTAGCAGTAGAAAAAGGCTGCAAAAAGAGGAGCTGGAGTGTACGTACAGTTCCCAAATGGACGACGACAAGCAGAGGCAGTCCCAACAGAGCGACATTGTACAAAGTACAGGGCAGAGACGGAGGCTGTAATACATGCAGCAAACATCATCAAGAATGTGGTAGACCCCCAAAGCCAAGTAGTATTCCTAACAGATGCCATGTCAGTACTGCAGGCAATCACTTCCGGCAAACTACCAAGGCTACGAAAAGAAATGGAGGACATCCCATGTCTGAGGATCATGCTGCAGTGGATTCCATCACACTGTGGTGTCTTGGGAAATGAGCAGGCAGACAGGATGGCCAAACTAGGAGCACAAAAAGAGCAACCAGACAACAGCGTTAACTACACAGAAATAAAAACTATTATATATATATAAATATACACAAAAGCACCTCAGACACCAGATAACTACCATGAGCTGTCCCGCCAAGAACAAGTGATTATCTTCAGACTAAGGACACAACACACAAGACTGAGACAACATATATATGTATGTACAAATGTTTTAAACTAGTACAATCACCAAAATGCCAGTGTGGAGAGGCGGACCAAACTGTTGAACACATCCTTCAGCACTCCAAGACACACAGGGCCCTGAGACACGAAACGTGGCCAACCCCACTGACGCTACAAGAGAAGCTATACGGGCCGCCAGATGAACTGAGCAGGACGGCCCAATTTATACAGATACCGGACTTCCAGTGTGATGCGATCGAGAAGAAGAAGAAGTCAGGAGCCCAAAGGAGGGGGCAAAGGAGGTGAGGGGGTGGGGGCGGAAAGTGGAAATGAAAGCAGACAACAGAACATTGCTAGAGAGCAGGAAAGGAGGTGAAAAGAGACAATTTTTTAGAAGAAAATTTTTCGGTCGCTACACCTTAACCTCTAGGCCACGAGAGCCCCCTTAGAAAAGTTTAAAATCAAAGGTCATCATGAGAAGATTAAAAGAAACAAATAGGCCGCTACCGTTTGTTGACTGGTCGACATAGGTGTGTAATACAGTGTGATGGACTAGGTACCTCATATATATATATATATAATATGTGCAATGTGTGCTGGTCAGCGAACAGTTCAATTTCTAGGGGAAGCTAACCATCCGGGGGGGGGGGCTCTCTAATCTTGGCAGGTTATATGTTCAGTCGTCTGCTTTCGTTTCCACTTTCTTCCCCCACCCCCTCACTTCCTTTGTCCCATCCTCTGGGCTCCTGACTCTTTCTGCACCCTTTCTAAGTTACTGCTACTCCTTGACTCCTTCTTTCTGTCTTTCAGCCAGTCCCTTGATCTTATGGTAGGGAAGGTCTGCAACTACTGTTCAACTAGCCTTCTCGGACAAGGGCAAAAAATCTCTGAGGTCCCATGTGCAAATTGTGCGCGCTAAAGATCCCTTGGGCCCTTGGTGGTCTAAAGTCGATAAAAGTATGGGCTTCGGCCACCACCCGAGCAAAATTCAAAATTTTAATGTTTCCCACGCGCTCATGACCTTAGGCAGTTGCAAGCACTGTAAAACACACTTACCAAAAAAAAAACATTTTAAAATAAATGCGCAAATGACAAATGAAAGGATTATGATGGCTCGTCCACAGTATTTAAAAGGGCCGAAATCTATGGCCACGCATTGGATGATGAATAATTTGTATGGTGATCTTAAACATAATTTTTGAGGTTGTAGGTTGATGAAATATTGGTTGTAACCACGCTGGGCAGATTGGCGTCTCGGGGTAGTGCCTATCCTATAGAAAAAACATGAGGATGTCTGCCCAGGCATGTTTGACTGTTTAAAAGGGCTATATTACCTACCACCGATACATACCTGTGGTGATGGTTCAAAGGATTACGGTAAGAACTCTGAGTTAAAAAATCACCCCCCCCCCCTACAAGGCTAACAAGCCTGGTTTGATCTAAGGGAAGTGAACTTTAATATAAAAACATCTTTCATTACCGTATGATATGCCTACTTCCACATTAGATGCTGGAACTTTTTCTCTCTCAGATTTAACCAATCAATGATTATTATGATGTTTTCAGATATGCCATCGTGTACAAGAAAGGTTACCAGGAATTTGAGAATGTTCAGAGTGCAGTCACAACGAAGGTGAAAGGCATTGCTTTCTCCAATGGTTCAATTCCTGGCATTGGCACGAGAACATGGGATGTTGCAGACTATGTCATTCCACCACAGGTAGATTAAAGAGTGCTTTGATGGGGAGAGGCAGAATATTTAAATGATTATAATACTAAATTGTCCTATCAGGTTGCGACTGGTGTCTTTTTGGAGGACTAAAGTGATAAAATAATTAGAAATCTAAAATGATGGGGAAAGGATCGGAAAAATATTTTGCCGACAGTGTTTTATATAAATATGATTCATTCAAATGTCTTCTGAAGTCGTTTCTGTTTTAAAATTAATAAGATGAATATTAAGAGGGATTTTCTTTTAGTCAGAACCCAACGTTTTATGTTACTGTTGTACGTTGTACTGTATTGTAAAGCGCTCAGAGCCTGTGTACTTAAATCGGGGTTGAGCGCTATACAAATGTAACTTGTTATTAATGGTCCTATCAGGTTGTACTCTATGACTCTGATGTCGTTTGGGGACACTGAAATTAAAGCAAAAAGAATAAACTGGTCAAGGGAGTTATTTCTGATCAAAATGTTTATCTTGAGGATCACAGTCATGTTAAAGTTTAAGATTCCTTTTCCCTCTTCCAGCCTGAAGGCTCACATGGCTTGGCAGTAAAATTCTGATGTAGAAAGACAGTAGCACCATATTTCTTATATATAGGAAGCACAAAACTGATGGAAAAAAGCACTCAGTGGCTTCCCTGTTTAAAATTTGAATTATCTGTCTACTTGACTGAGATTATTTTTTGCTATTAATGGCTGCTTTTGTGTTTTCGTGGATGGTTTGATATAATGGCAGATTTTGTACAAAAGCTATATATATATTTTATAGTATTTATATAGTAATTTGTCTCCACTTCTCTTTTGAGGTGTTGGTACTGTATCTACCTCTAAGATCCTGGTGCCAGGGAGGGGGGAAAAATGCAGGATTTTAGGTAAACAGGATCCTAGTTGATCATCAGGGGGAAGAATCCATGGTGACTCATGGTCAGGCCCGCAACCAGTAAAATATCTCCCCTTATTTAAAATTAATTGACATGACCCCTGGGTAGGCTTAACTAACTAGCAAAACAAAGAGTGATTAGCCTTCAAAATCAATCACAGTGGTCTTTTTCTTTTGATTCAAGGCATGCCATTTTCCCATCCAATCATGAATTTCAAGATCTAGGTCGATCTCATTGCTCCTGTCCTTTATCTGTCCAAAATTTATGTCTTTCCATCTCTGGCTGAGTTCTCCACTCTTGTCGTAATATTGCTTTGGGACTAACGTTTCAAATGTGGAGAATGAAACCCATTGTCAACAGTTGACCATTGATATTATTTACTGTTCAAAGTAGTGAAAGGAAATTGAACTACCCCAGAGGATTCTCTTTTTGAACGAATTTGGGGCAGAGCTGAAAGTTTGATGGTAAGGGAAACAAAGCACAGACGAGTTCACAGTTTGATGTGGTCCTATCTGTGTGACCTTGTTTGCCTTACCCACCATATGTGTGATGTAACTTCATGGGGAGGGCACAAATGTGAGTCCAGTGTTTGGGCAAATCCACTGCGTCGACGAGTTAATCATTAATGCCTGGGTGTCATCCCATCTGGGGCAATCTTTGTACCCACTCATTGAGATTTACAACTGAGATGTGATCACATTCACAAGAGCGGATGATCTGCGATGCAACAGGCAGTGCAATGATCACAAATTTTTCCGTTGCTTTGTTGACTAGCTGCGTGCACCTGGGTTTTCATTCAGCAAACAATGATTTGAAATTTAGGATCTTAACCGAACCTGGTCTCTTCAGAGCAGGATCTAAGGGGTGTCATGTGTAGTTAAAATTCTGTTTTCATAAAACAACGAGATCTTAAGCAAATCAGGATCATAAGAGTGATGGGATCTTAGCCAAAGGCTACTGTATCCCAAAGCTTTGGTAGTTAGGAGTTAATTACCTCAGGCTCACAATAGTGTCCAGCATATATGTTGGTGACACAGAGTTGAGGTGTTGGTCACTGGGGTGTTTTTTTGTTATTTTTTGTAAAGTGTTTTACAGCGCTCGCAACTGCATAAGGTCATATGAGCACGCGGAACATACCTAATATTTTCAGTTGGTAGGAAATTTTGAATTTTGCCCGGGTGGCGGCCGAAGCCTACTCTTATCGATTTTAGACCACCAAGGGATCTTTAACGTGCGCAACTTGCACACGGGCCCTCCGAGATTTTTCGCCCTTGTCCGAGAAGGCTAGGTGTAGATCTTTCCTACCAGAAGATCAGGAGTGTGGCAGAAAGACAGCAGTAAGGAGGAGCCAAGGAGTAGCAGTAGAAAGGCTGCAGAAAGGGTCAGGAGCCCAGAGGAGGGGGCGAGGGGGTGGGGGGCAGAAAGTGGAAATGAAAGCAGACAACAGAACATTGGGAGAGAGCAGGAAAGGAGGTGAAAGGAGACAATTTTAGAGAAGAAAATTTTTTGGTCGCTACCCGGATTCGAACCCAAGACCTTTGAATGAGAGCTTAACCTCTTGGCCACAAGAGCCCCCCCCCCACTGAGGTGTGTATCCTTGAGTTAGAGATGATAACATTCTGCTGAAAAACTGGCTGCTGCTTAATGGCTACCAGCAATGGCTTAATTGTGAGATAGTCTGTATTGGTAAGTGTGTGATACTGTGTACTCATATTATGTGGCACTGATGAATTACTTTATGATGTATTTTTATCTGCCATTTGTAACCCCCAAATTTCCTCCTTGGGGGGGGGGGGGGGGTTATGGTACTTTTTTATATTGGTTTATTTAAGCCCTATTAAATGTCTGTTCAATGTTTTAATCTGAGATCATACTTGCAGCATATGTTTCCACTACCTGTACACTGACATTGTTTCTTGCACTGTTGACTTATGTGTAAATAAATACATACAAAAATAGCAGGTACCCTCAGTAGTAGGTACCGTCTGTAGTAGGTACCTTTTTTAAGCTTCTTTATCTCTAACTCTTTGACCTGGTACATAATATCCAGGGTCTAAGTGAGGCCGCAACTGTCTTACAGGAACAGGAAACCATTGGTTGTGATCTTCATGATGCAAGAAGAGGATGTGGAGAGTTGCATTTTACTTTTACCCATGTAGCTATTATAAGGAAGCCATTCGCTACCTTAGAATTACAAAGTTCTATCTGACATTTTCGGTCATAAGTTACTAAGACTGTGAGGTCAGAAACAAAATGTTCTTTCGGCTCTATCAAAATTGTAAGATTATTTGGACTCATTATCAAGATATTCAAAGAATGGATTTGAAAAAAGCTTTACTTGGTTGTGAAACTCAAAATTTTTTAACCTCAAATATCTCAAAACTAGGTATTGAGCTGTTTGAACTTTGAAATTCTAGGATAGCACATTGCTAAGTTTTGTGTATCAAGGCATTCCATGATCTTGTTTTTTCCATCTCAGGAGAATGATGCCTTCTTTGTGATGACCAATGTTGTGGTCACTCCTGGACAGACTCAAACAGGGTGTGCTGAGGTCAGTGAGTGCTTTGTACTTCTAGTGATAGAATTTGAAGGTGGTTGGTGGGTGCACTGGTGTGGTTTGCTCCTTCTTTCCTATCAAACCTATCTATGTAGCATCTGATCTGTGGGTGGTTGGCGGGTGCTCTGGTGTGGTTTGCTTCTTCTTTCCTATCAATCATCTATCGTCCTTATCTCCCCTTCTTCTTCTTTGTTTGTTACTCTCTTGTAACACCTCTAGATCTAATCTTCTGGCGCTCATATGACCTTATGCAGTTGCGAGCGCCGTAAAACCTGTCTAAAACTGAACATCCTAATCTCTCCTGTTTGATTGTGGTTTTTTTGTTTGGGGGGGGGGGGGGGGGTGTTTGTGCTTATAACCCTTTTAACACTTCAGCACTTACGTGACCTTATTTTGTTGCAAGTGCCGCAAAACATCACTAAACCCGTGGAAGACTAACACATTAATTGAAATATGAATTTCAGTGATTGAAAAAGATGTATAGAGGAATGTGTAGCTTGAATGTGAACCGACGGTCCCTCTGAATAACTGTGTCAGTTTGCAATTCCATGCATTTTGGGCCTTTAGTCTGACCGTCAGTCTAATTGACTCATTTAAAAGACTTTTATTCTTCAGTGCATCTTGTTTTAGGAATATATGCTTGTCTTTTCTGTTTTCTTCTTTTGAGCTGAGGTCTCTTAAAATTATGGAAAGGCTCCCCACTAAACTCGCTGAGGTGTCACTTATATGCCACAAACGTGCTAGGAGTAGGGGTGGAATTTTTTCTTCATGCTCACTTTTTTGCTTTTTCTTGTGTGAGTCTGTTGACTGGGGATCCTGTTTTGAAAATGGAACCCAAAATCTAACAATTTTAGTCTTTAAGATTCCCATTATAATGATCAATAGTCCTTGGTGAACAAATGTGCATAATATTTTATATTAAAAATCTTTTTATTTTTTTTATTGGAACTAAAATGAAGTTTTCAAAACTCTGTATGAACATGTGCAGTTTTAAATTGAAAGTAATTTTGATGGAACGAATAAAAAGTAAGTAAGTGTTGAGAATTTGACTGCAAGTCTAAGATGCATTTAATGATAATAGATAGCATTTGTATTGCACCGATCCCCGCTCAACAGCAAGCTCTATGCGCTTCACAAACTATACTATTACCCCAGCAGACCTGAGAGCATTCTGAAATAACCTCAACCTTCTGGGAAGCATACAGTGCAAGCAGCCATTTATAGGTGCTAAAACACTAACATACTGACAAGATCTTTGGCTGTCTATGACCGGGTACTCATTCTCACCTGGGTGAAGTGAGGAAAATTCATGTAAAGGGCCTTTCCCAAGGACTCAACGTCGGGCCCACCCCCCCTCCCCCCCAAGCCACAACCTCATGATTACGAGTCCAGTAGCCTAACCACTAGGTCACCAACACCATTTCAGACTAAAAGTATAATGGGGGTTTTTTCTAACCTGTTTTTTTTTTTTCCTTTTATTTCTGTTAGGACCCAGGTGTTACTGGCGCTATATGTCAGACCAATGCTGACTGTGAACAGGTCAAAGGAACCATTTTGCCAAGTGGAAGTGGTGAGTTGCTACTTTAAAAAAATTCTTTTGCATTCTCTGGTATCAGCTTGTCAAGTCTGTACTTTTAGAGTTTGACTGAAAAATGTGCATTAGCTAAAAGCAAAAGTCTACTTGGAATGTAGTCCTTATCAATTGTCAAGATTTACAGGCTGTTTTTGGCCAACACACTTCATAAACTGCAGTATAGTTCAATCTTACAAGCTGGAGCAAATGCCTGAACTTTAGCTACCTTCCTCCTTTGGCTCAAGGAATACACACATTTGTGTGCTGTAGTTCAAGTAGTCAGCCAAACAGAAGTAAGGCACACAGGTACTGTAAGCTTAGAAGACCTGGATTTAAAGTATTAATTTTGACACTTTGTGAAAGGCCTTAGTTAGGTTGGGTTTTTTCTTCAACTGTCGTGATCTCTGCTTTGACAGCAATGTAAGACTCCATTAGGTTTTAGATTTTGTGAAGTGCTTGACGGCTTGTGTGTTATGTGGTCAGTATTCTGTTTTGTTTGGGTTTTTTTGTTAAGGTCCTGTGACTGGAGAGTGTGTGCCGTCTGATGTCCCTGGTTCGAAGGAAAAAGTATGTCAAATATTTGGCTGGTGTCCGTTGGAAAACGATAAAATGTAAGTTCCCATATTTGTTTGCTTTGTAAAATTTTTCTGCTTTGGGTTATTTTATTGATGCTTTTTACTGAAATACCTGCAGGATATGTCTACTTTGCATTTATGCATTAGGTTAAACTATAAGAAAGTGTTTTCATCAGTTTGCTTGTTTCAGTTTAAGAGGAGCGCATTGACCCCCCACCCCCGCCCCTTCCAATAATCTCTTATAAAAACCAGGAATAGAGCAAGAGATGGACAGAAACTTGGTTTCTTTTATTTCTGGTGGCTCATACAAATTTTTTTAAAGAGCAACTTTCTAAACTTGTGTCTTTTCCTCTACCAGTGGGTGCTGTGGTATAAATCCTCAGTGGGGCATTCTTGAAGTCTGGTTGTTTTGTGTAGTTTCCAATGCTTTAAACCCAGTTGGCTCGACCTTATTGGAGATGGAGGTTAAAGTTGGAGGTCCCACCTCCTCTCAAATAACTTATATTTGTTGCTGTGTAAATAGATCTCATATGATGTGATAATACGTCACCCAGTGTTGTGTAAACATATATCTCGTACAGCGGCTGAAACCCGTCTATTGTTTCGTTAATATTACAGCTGCTGGTAAGTTTTGAATAAAGAAAGTGACATTCCTTGAAAGCTTATCGTTTTAACTATGTGGTCATATTTATATATATATAAACTATTGGTCGGAAAGGGTGGGTCACACATCATGCGAGACCCGACTCATCGACTCAAAATGCTTGTGTCAGTTCACGGTAGAATTTTCCTCAGCATGTTCAGTGCATATACGGTTTATCCCTCACATTTACACTTTCTGTACTCTTTTTAACTGTACCAGTGATGAGATTGATTGAAGGGATTGGTCCGGCATTTTAATAATCTCTTTATTTTTCCCTCTGTTTGTATGTCTGTCTTGCTTTTTGCTAGCTTTCTATGATTGTAATGGTGTGCAACTCAAACAATCAAAGCCATCACTAAGTGGGTGCCGAACTGATAGTGTGATTGAGTTTTTGATGACCCAGTGGATGAATTTGGTTCATGTGAACACATTGGGTGTACTGTATACAATACCATAGGATAGAACGATACAATGTGGAATTTATATTCAGCTCTTATTATGATAAAAACTCAATGCCAAAGAATTTTGTTTTAGCTAGGTTTTTTTCCCATTCTCCGAAAAGACATCTGAGAAGTGGTTGCTTGGTGGGCGCTACAACTAGGTCTTGCTTCTTTCTCACTCTGTCCGTTTGTTTCTTTAGTGGTGCAGATAGATGGTAGGTGCTCTGATGAGGTTTGTTCCTTGATCTTCTTTGTATGTGTGCTTCATGTGTTGCTGTTGTCCTCTCCTGCTACCAGGGAGAGGAGACGGGTAGTCATTATCATGCCTGCTCACTCTCTGTTTGGCTCAACCCAGTAACATTCTTAGGATTGTTGGAGGGTGTCACTGGTATGTCCTATTTCTTTACTTTCCCTCTGTTGTTTCTGTCTGTCTGCATTACTTTTTCCCAGCACTTAATGACCATTATTGTTTCATATGTGCTTCTCTTACCTTAAACAACCAAAAGCCAGTGTCTGAAAATGTTTAAATTGTGTCAGTGGAAGCGGACAACATTCTCTGTCAATCAGTGTGCTTCCTTTTCACTCAGAAGATCATAACAGAGAAGGTATGTAATGTGATTTTTGTTGATTAGACTATAACCTGCCATTTCATGTGATAAGAAAATTTCAAGTTGTAGATAACTAATGTAATTAAGTCTTTGCGATTGTGATATCTATCTGCTGTGCGTCATGTACTTGGAACTCTTAAAAAGAATGAAACGATCAGTTGATTAGTCATAGTCAGCATATGTCGATTTGTGGAATTTCCTGGTTACGAAATGTACCATGTGGGTGGTTGGCGGGTGCTCTGGTGTGGTTTGCTCCTTCTTTCCTTCCTATCAAAGGTCTATCGTCCTTATTTCACGTTCTTCTTTTTTATGTTGGTTACTCTCTTGTTACACCTCTAATAAGATTACAAACTAATCTTCTGGCTCTCGTGTGATCTTATGCAGTTGCGAGCGCATTAAAACCTCTACTAAAACTACAATGTACCATAACTGTGGTCTCTAGACAGAGTTGACAAGAGAAGTCACATCTTTGAATGGCTGAAGGAATTTTGCCATTTGTATTTAGAGAAAGACGCTTTAACAAAGTTTGTTTTGATCAAGCGTACGAGAGAATAGAGCGCTCCGTTAGCTCAGTTGGTATCATTCTAGACTACGGAGTGGATTGCTATGGTTTGGATCCCAGACTGGGCGTTCATGAACTTGGATCATTTTGTTGAGTTTCAAGGCTCTCAACCCATCTGGCTCGGTCTTACCAGAAACGGATGTTAAAATTCGGAGGTTCCATCTGTTAAATTGCCAGTAGTGTTGAGAAGGGTGTTAAAACCATACACTTATTTTCAAGATAAAAGTGGAAAATTTTAAAGACGTGTCGTTCTAGTGCAGTAACTGTTCCACATTCTCCCATAAAAATAATGGGGTTAAAGTAAGGTGTTCTCTGCTTCTGAGGCTAGTAGCAGTTTCTTGCGGAGATCTTGTCATGTTCGTGGTGGACTGAACGATGGCTGTTTACAAGATAATGTTCAAATAAATGAAACCTTGCAAAACCAATGTCATCGATATAAAATTAAAATGATAATCGATACTTTGTTCGCTTTGTGTGTAAAAGACGCTAGCCGGATCCCTGTCTGGGGAAGATACTATATTATTGGGTATCCCAGTCTTTATGCTAGGATACTGTATCCAACACCGCCTGGCTTAGCCTTGACAAACGGAACTGAAGCCGCCTGCTTCCTAAATAATTTAGGATTTGTTGAATGATGGTATTAAACGTTTATAATTATTAATAACAGCACTGATATCTCAAACACGTAGAAGAAGGTCTCATGTGCGGCGATGTAACTTTCTTGACTCAAGAGATCAAACTCTGAAACTTTTAAACAATTTGTTACCCCCAGTGGGTCGGGGGGATATAAATAGACCCACTGCTTCGTCTGCAGAAGGTGCAACCCCTTCAAAGGCGGAGTGTCGCACACGGACCCCAACCCTCTGGGATCCGTGTGCGACACTTACTTTGGTTTATCCTCCTCTTCT